CCTCTTCCTCGTCCTCCTCATCCTCATCCTCCTCGTCCTGCTCCTCCTCCTTCTTCTCCTCCTCCTCCTCGGGGGCGGGGGGGGGCCTTCGCGCCCGCGGCACCGCCGTCCTCGACCCCCGTAGACGGGGCGCGCCCCCCGGATACGGCCACGAGTGGGCTCCTGCCGCCGCCCGCCAGGCCGAAGCGCGGCCCCAGCGGGGTGAGGCTCAGCCTCGGGCGCGCGCAAAGGATCGATCGAGGGGGGAGGGGCGGAACGATGAGAAGGATGGTGGCATAGGGTAGGATAAGCGCTGGGAGGCGATGAGTGTGCTGATGATGCTGGTGGTGTTGGTGTTGGTGTTGGTGATGGTGATGGTGATGGTGATGATGCTGATGATGATGATGATGACGATGATGTTGATGAGGATGATGGTGCTGCTCCTGCTGATGATGATGATGATGATACTGGGGACGATGATGGTGATGGTGATGCTGATGATGATGATGATGATGATGATGATGATGATGCCGGTGGTGATGATACCGATGGTGATGGTGGTGGTGATGGTGTTGATGATGATGGTGATGGTGATGATGATGATGATGATGATGATGATGGTGGTGATGATGATGATGATGCTGATGATGATGATGATGCTAATGGTCATGATGACGATGATGCTGGTGATGATTATGCTGCTGATGATGATGGTGATAGTGATGATGATGCTGTTGATGATGACGATGCTGATGATTGCGATGATGATGATTATGATGATGATGCTGATGATGCTGATGCTGGTGATGATGATGCTAAGGGGGAGGATACTGTCGATATCCGATAGTGGTAATGATGCGGGTGACGATGGTGATAATGATAACGATTATGATGACGATGATGATGCTGATGAACATGATGATGATGATGATGATGATGATGATGATGATGATGATGGTGATGATGATGATGATGATGATGAGAATCACGACGCTTATGACGATGATGAAGAAGGTGATGACGAGACGGAGAAAGAGGAGGAGGAGGAGGAGGAGGAGGAGGAGGAGGAGGAGGAGGAGGAGAGGGGGAGCGGGGAAGATGGGTGGAGGTGGGGAGGAGGGGCAAGGGGGAGTGACAGAGGAGGAGAGGGGAGCGAGAATGAGAAGTGGAACGGGAAGCTGAGGGGGATAGGGGGGAGCTAAGATGACGAGGAGTGGTGAGCGAATGGCTGTCAGTTCAACCAACGGGAAGGCTAGATTCGAACCTCGGGCTGTTAGCGGACGTGAAGCAACTTTGAGCACTAGTTGTTCAGCGGGGGGGGGGGGCGTTAGAAAAAAATCAAACATTCCCCACTGTACTTCTTCCACCGAACACCCTGGTGGACTTGACACTTCGGAATATTCGCGAGGGCGTATGGTTTGAAGAGATCACTGCCAACTCATGAAAGAGGATCGAGTGGCTGCAAGGGGTTATGATTATCTTGTGTCCTTTTCTGCTCCTCGGAAGGCAAGCCTCCAGGGACCTCCCGGGACCTGCCTAGGGTGAGAGCTGGGGGCCTCCAGGACCGAGACCTCCGTCGTCCAGAATAAACATCAGCCTTTCGAATCTACTTGACATCGGGACACCTGTTTCGGACGCCCGCGAACAATCAAATCATAGTCAGAGAAAGAAAACTGTTTTTGTCCGGCGGTGCCAGCGAATGCTGACGCGAAGTCGGTTCCAGCGGGGCGAGAGGGCGCGGATGCAGGTGGGAAAGAAGAGGGCGGCCGCGGAGGAGGGAGTGAGAAGAAGCCCGACCGTCGAGAGTCGACGGGTGAGGGTTTTTGCGCAAACGACCTCAGGCACCGAATACGGCGTGTGTATGTGTGTGACAAGTGGCGGAGCAGCGAGAGAACCAAGCCGTTGAAGTAGACGACGGCCAGGCGAGGCGCATTAACATCGCCACGCGGAAGAAAAAACATGTCCCGTGGATTGTGGGCGCACACTACGGGTCTGGGGAACACGGCGTCGGATGTCTGAGGCATCCTCGGGGGGGGGGGTCCTCCTCATCCTCCTCCGCATCCTGCTGTTCCTCCTCCTCCTCCTTCTCCGCCTCCGCCTCCGCTTCCGCCTCCTCCACATCTTCCTCCTCCGACTCCTCCTCCTCCTCCTCCACCGCCTCCTGTTCCCCCTCCGCGCCTCCTCTTCCTGCTCCGCCTCCTCCTCATGTTCCTGCTCCTGCTCCTCCTCCTCCTTCTGCTGCCCCTGATGAAGCTCCTGTTCATGCTCCTCCTCCTCCTCCTCCTCCTCCTCCTCCTCCTCCTACACTTCTAGGTGTTATTGACCCCCACCCCTTCGGCACCATGGTTGAACGCGACTCGGAAAACGAGCCAGGAAGGTTCCGAAGAGGAAGGAGAGTCCGTCTGGAGCGGATTCTGGCTGGTGGGGAGGGGCATGGAGGCAGGAGGGAGGAGGGAGCAGTGAGGAGAAAGAAGGAGTAAAAGGATGCGAACAATGAACCTGATGAGGAATGTTGACTAAACCGATGCCTGACGCGCAGAATGGGGGCTACCCGCTCCAGGCCAGAGGGGACGATGGTGAGGAGCAGGGGGTCGCTACTACAAATGGTGCTAACGAGACTGTCGCCGAGATCCATCAACACCGCTGGCACCCCACGCAACACAGCAATGGCAGCACATCGCTCTTTACAATATCGCTCTGCCGCCTTCCGCGGCACCTCTATAACAGCGCATCGCGCTGCTGGCCGCTACGCCGCCCCTGCGCCAAGTACGCATGTGTCGTACGTCACTGGTTAAGCGCCGCACGGTCAGCAAAGCTCGGTCTTGTGCCACAGACTACGAGTGTCACAGGCGAATGCTCGAACATATCAGCGGTACGCTGCGCTAAGGCGTTCACCACTAGTTCAACACTACTGGACAGCACACTCTCTGACAACACTGATCGCACAAAAGCGTTTGCATAACTACCAGCTACTAGCCCCGCTTACCGGCTGATCCACTTCTAATGCAAGAAGCAGCACATGGCGGCCAAGCCCATTGCGCCCACTGTATGTGTGGTTCCATACCCATATGATGCGTTCCTTTTCAACTTCGGGGGGCATCCTCTCTTTGTCCAGTCAGGTCGACAAGTGTAGCCACCATCTACATGCCACGACTATGAAGCCTTGCTTCTCAGAAGACCCGCTCCTCACAGTAGGTGTATAATGGTGAACTGCGCCAATGGTGGCAAGCACGGTCGGGGCGGCTACCCCCCATTGTGACCTTTCGTCCTTCGCGTTACTGCGCACAGCCAGTGTTCATTCACGCGTCTCACCGGAAATCCACTCCTCGCGCTCGTTGCCTCGGCCTCTACCAATAGTAGGCATCTATAGTTGTGCCGACTTCCTCCCTCAAATCCTTTAAAGTGCCCAGCGCTGCCGTCGCTGTAACGCTGTCCGTAGCTGGGTCCATATTGTTTTGCACGTACGGGTGACCTGGGTCTTGTTCATGGTCGGCACACCTGTTTCGAACCACTGCGCCAACCGTCTCTGGACGCCCATATTGGATTACTTGTCCTGCAAGATTTGCCTGTGTGAGGGTTTACGCGATTGCTCGCCATTGCACGTCGCACTCGTTTTACTGTTGACGGACGCTACAGCCCACGGTGATAGTAATTTCCATGTTGGAAGGAGGGGAATGGCGGGCGGAGGAGGGACGCGGAAGCAAACGAAAGAGAAGGAAAATGATGAGATTGGAGGAGGAGAAGCAGCGGCAGGAGGATAGTAATGAGCAGGAGGAGAAGCGGGAGGCGGGAGAAGAGAGGAGGGGAAAGGGAAGAGGAGGGAGATGAGGAGGAGGAGCGCACAAACCTGTCGTGTGCTCGTCAGCTGGACTGGCATCGGAAGATGCGGCGACCGTGCTCTCAGGAGGCTGCAATCGCCCTCGCCTTTGCCGGTACGACACAATGGATCGTGGGCATGATCGTTTGCAGGAAGGCACGGGGACTGGCATGATTGGACGTCGAAAGACGGGTATCTACAACTATTGCAATGCTACGCAGTTCCTCCCTGCGTTCATACAGGAGGGGGGGGCACCGAGCACAAGACTGCCCGGGCCTCCCGAGGCCCGGTAGCTTGGAAAAAGGGGAGAGACGGATTTCACAGCAGGCCGAAATTCATCACAAGATAGGTGATGCACCACGTTGCCCCCATGATCGCACCGACACCCACATGCACATACCTACCCCCTGCGCCCGTTCTGCAACGCGCTGGAGTGTCCCATTCGCCAGGGACGGCTTTGAACACAGAAGTGGGGACGCGTGGAGGCAACCTGGCAGCGACCATGTTGATGCGGAGGAAAGTCCTGAAGGTGGCAGAGCCGGGGTGGTCTACTCTCATTGTCAGCAACCTTGGGGCTAGCAGGGTCATGTAGCTGGACCCTTCGGTTCTGCATCAGATCAAAGTAACCCTTGGCTTGAGCTCCATTCGCCAGGGGCTCCCGTGGCACAAGGGTCAGCGACCCACTCGAGCCCAGCAGACCTTGCAGGTACGAGAAAATCGAAGGCCGAGCAGACTTGTTACGCTGGTGGGCAACCACATAGTCTTCACCTACGAGAGTGCCGACGTACTCTTGCTGGGCCTTGTGAAGAGCTTCGTTCTTCATGGCGACCCTGAAAGCAGCGGCGAGAGCATGGAAGAGGAGATGCGCAAACCCATTATCAAATCCAAAACCTTTCAATTGGCGAAGCGTTTCGGTGGAGAGAGCGTTCGATGGCTCAAGGTTGAAATATTGCCAAACATAATGCTCGGCACGCCGAACAGCAAGACGAGGAGGATGCAAGTGGGCCACATGGCCAACAGCTTGGACAGCAAAACTATTGCAGGCGATCGCGCTATAAGCAAACGAAAAATTCTGGCCCTTCAACTGGACGCCTCGCCCGGTCACGGGTTTCGCCCGCGACTTCCCGGGAACACTCAGGTGTACGATCATCCCGAGATGCTTCCCTGAGACCAAAATCTGCAATATGTCAACCCGTAACCCATGGGACCTGGATTTGGCGCTGACGGCGCCTAGATTAAACTCGTGGGGGAGCGCGATCACGGTTACGGCAGGGTGAACGACCCCGCCTGTCAACGACGCTATCTTCATCAGACCGCGCACCGCAACCAGCAGCGAACCGAAAACATCCCTGACCACGAAGGCGAAATCGTCAGCCTAGCTGCGCAATGGGTAGGCTGGGGCGCGCGGGGGGCCCAACAGTCCTGAACAAGTCACGATGGATCGGGCCTGTATAGACAACAAACGCTGCCCCCAAAAGCGCGCGCCCCCGCTTGGCCCCGCGCCCCAATCGGGGAGCACTGCTCAGTAGAACCATGACTCCAGACAAAAACATGGACGTTATCACAAGAGGTTCTGGACGGCACCCGGGAAAAAAACAGGGGCCCCAATCGTGAAGGGCCCCAAGGACCCCCACACGCGCGCGCGCACGCACACACGCACACGCACCACCACCACCACCACCACCACCAAGAACGGTTGAGGCGGGGAGCGGAGATGTAACAAGCAGGCGACGCAGTGGCGCTCAGCCTGCAGGTCATTCGCGAAGACGAGCTCAGCGTCAATGCCGATCACGCGATCGAGCCCGCGGCGCCCCGGTAGGAAGCCCCTTCTGGACACCGGCGCAAACTTCGTCGGCGACTCTGGCGAGAGGATTGCGTCTGGCTTTCGCGAGCATGCCGTTGCCAGCGTCGCTGAGAGCGAGCGGCCTCGCCCTGGGAATGACGCCCGCTTCGGGCCCGAGAACTCCCCATCAGAGCCCGCGGCAAGAAGGGGCGCCGCCAGGCGGCCGCTCAACCGCCGCGCACATTACCCCACCGAAAGTGGGCCTGGCACGCGGAAGAAAGCACGACGCATCACGCGGAGCCACCGGCCATCAAGGCCGGGCAAGGCGCCCATTAATTCCTGGGGCAGAGCGCATAAGCCGACCGATCATCTCTGGGAACGCATCCCCCGACACCTCCCGCCCCGCCCCCCCGCGATAATCTGGAGGAACGGGCCCGGCCCCGCCGACGGGCGAGAGCGCAGACAGAGGCTTCAGGGGACTTGTGGGGAACCCCTTCTATTCTGGATGGGGCGGAGGTGGGGCTTGCTATGTTGCCGACGCTCTGGACACATGAACAAAGCATGCTCTTTCGCGGCGGGATGGGCGCTGGCGTCGCGGATTGAGTTCTGCTGCCCACGCTGAAGGCGGCCGCCGGCGGGGCGCGCGAACTCCCGAGAGAAATCCTCGATGGAGCGCCGCTGCATCACCTGCCGTGCCAGTCGCAATGCTCGGGCAAATCTGAGAAAGAGCGGCGGGCGCAACGGGCAGCGCCGCGCCGCCCCCCCCCCGCTCCCTCGAGCACAGGCAAGGGCGAGCATCCAGGCGGGCATTTCCTCGACCGACAGTGGGCCCCGAAGTTCGGCCCCGCGTGTGGCGCGCCGCGCGGTCTCGCGCGCGATCTGCCTCCGCGGGGCCCTCGGAAGAGCCGGCTTCATCTAGCGAGGCGGAGACCTCGTCAAGAAACTCCTCGGGCTCGCCAATCCGCCATTGGACACTCAGCGCCCCGCCAACTGCGCGGCGAGCTGGGGGCCGAAGATGGGCGGCGGAATGGTCGCGTGGCCGATCGTTGCAAGCTGCATTCCACGCCGCGCACGTTGTCAGCCTAGGGTCTGGAAGCCCGACGGATGCCGTAGAATTATACACCCCGTCTCATCGCCCAAGGAAAACGCAGCTTGGCGCGCGAATTCGGGCTGGTGGGTTTGGGCAAAGTAAGGACATGGGTAGGGGAAGAATTTGGCGCCACGCGGCCAAAGGGCAGTCTCGACGCGACCGTCGCCGCCCCTCACCCTGCAAGCCCCCGCCCCCGACCCCCCAGCCCCCCCATCGCAACGGAGATTGACGCCCCCGCCCGACGCCGAAGTGGCGCGCGCAGACCAGGGCTTGTGGTAGCCAACATTACAAGCTGATTCTACTGCTGCGTTTGTGAAAGCTCGGGATCGAAATTGGAGACCGCGAGGGAGCCGCGGAGGCCCCTGCATCGAAGAGTAAATCTACGTCCAGGAATTACTGCAACGCTTGAAGAGGAAATGAAGTGCATGGCCATGTTGTCGCGCGCGAAGCGCAAGGCCGCCCCGGCCGCCTCCGGGAAACAGAAAGACCCGCAGATCCTGAAGTTGGGAGACAGACGCTGCAACTCCAACTGATCCCAATAGCCCCCATGAGGCCCCCGGTCAATCAAGATTTCGCGATCGCGCATTGGATGCCTCAAGTGGCCCAACTTCCTGGACTGAAGTTCGCGAAAGGCCCGAACACCTCCTCGCGGCGCACGAGCGTTGCAGGCGCAAATCGCACACGGGCAAGTGGAAGGCGGAAGAAAGGATGAGGACGGCCGAGCCTGCGCGGGGCCCTCGGGGGGCTGGCAAGGCGATTGGATAGAAGCTTCTAAATTCTCTGGAGACTCACTTTCCTGCCGTGGGGCATCGCGTCCAGCAGCCCGTCTGACAGTCCTCGAAACCGATGCCTTACCTCTGTTGCCCACGCCGCCGATGCCCCGTGCAGACAGGGAAGGTGGAGCCTGATCCCATAGAGGAGCGTCCTGGCCGACTTTGGTCGAGGCAAGCAAGTCCGCGACGTCGCGAGCGGTGGCACTCCAGCACTGGAGGTTCTGATACTTGAGCTCGTGCGCGCACCCTGTCCTCGACAGGCCCGCGGAACCAGTGGAGCCCGAACGCGTCCTCGCCACCGCTGGAAAGGAGGATGACCTGGAAAGCAGTGCAGACGAGCCAGAAATCGGCAGGTGGTCGCCCGCCTTTTTGGAAGAGGTCTAGCGTGCGGGCTCGGACCACGGCGGCGGCACGGTGGCGCTGTCTGACATCCGCTGGGAGGTCCGACCTGACTTTGATGACGTGGGTCTGCTGCGACCCGGGGCCAGTCCAACCGATGTTCTGATCAGCAACTAAGATACCGAACCTACTGGTCAGCTCCTCGGACGGCAAGGCGACGGAGCAGGACTTGGAAACCCTGGAGATCGTGACGGTGATCTGCGAGAGGATTTCGCGGGGGATCGTGGGAGCGACAGCGGACTCCCACTGGGCCCCTTTCCGGCCTGCATGAGCGAGCGAGGTGCGATGCCGATCCACCTCCTGCAGCGGTCCTGACACGCGCCAGTCGACCTGGAATCATCTCCACCACGTTGCCGATGATGCTGTTGATGATTGATTTGGGGATGTTGTTGGCTGCTGCTTGCAGCTGGTTCAACGAAATGGTCTGTGTCAGGATGCCACCGATCTAGTAATCTGACTGCCTCGGCTAAGCCCTCGTGCAACTGCGTCTCGATGGACATGCGATTGTTGCCAACGCTGATGAACCTCTGACTGATTTTCCTCACGTCGACGTCATTCTGAATCAGCGCCGAACGTATCTGCTGGATTTCCTGCTGCATGGTCTGCTCGAGGCAGACGATGGAGGCGCTCTCGCGGAGGGTGCTCATGAACTCGTTGAGCCAGGACGGCGCCTCCGAAGGGGCACCCGTAGAAGGCGAGATAGGCGCGTCTGTCCCACCAATTTGAGTGCATGCGCGAGGGAAGCTGTCTGAGCTGACGGGCCTCTCAGATGACGCACGACTGCGGCCACGATCGCGAAAGCCACGGCTATGATCTCGATCGCGGCTAGGCTCTCGACGACGACGGTGTCGGACGTGGCGCCCGTGCATACAAAGGTGCAAACATCTAGGGCTCCCAACTTCGCGCTTCGCGCTGCGCGAAGCGCGAAGCGCGAATAACTTCGCGCTCTCGCGCCGCCCTCCCAAAAGGAGAAGAGGAGGACGAGGAGGAGGGGGAGAAGGAACGAGGACCGCGAAGCGCGAAGCGCGAATAACTTCGCGCCCTCGAGGGCGCCCTTGAAACATTGGGGTACCCTCCTGATCGAGTCTGCGGCACGCAGGGCGGGGCGGGGCGGAGAGGGGCGCGCACGAGGGCGCGCACGACGACGACGACGACGACGACGACGACGACGACGACGACGACGACGTCGACAACGACGACGACGAGGAAAACGACGAAAACGATGACGACGAAAACGACGGCAGCGTCCCCAAGGCCAGCTGGTCGCGAATCGGGGTACGGGGCAGGGTGGACCCCAGGAGGCGTCTGGGGGCCACTTTCGACAGCGGACGTGGGCCTCGGGGGGATGGGCGATGGGTGGGGGCCTTATGAGAATGGGCATTCGTGGTCTTATACATGAATTTTTCGTGCCAGATCGAATTTAGTCAGGGACCTGGGGCCCGAAACCGAGCGAAAACCCCCTGCTCGAACAAAAATGCAACGCCAAGACCTCCACAGGTTGTCAAAGAAAGACGACGACCACGACGACGACGACGACGACGACGACAACGACGAACACGACGACGACGACGACGACGACGACGTCGACCACGACGACGACGACGACGACGACGACGACGACGACGACGACGACGACGACGACCTGGGCGGGGCCCGATCGGTCGGCGGCGGGTCGGCCGCATCGGCGGCCCTGGCCATCGGCGATGATCCGCGGGCCCTGCCGAGGGCACGGCGGGGCGCACTCGCGCACGCTGAGCCGGTCTCCCGACAGCGGGTCGATGACCTCGGCGCGGCCCGCCGATCGATCTCGGAGCGACGGGCACGGGCACGGGTGGGCGGCATGCGGCAGGGGGGCCTCAGGGGAGCAAGCAGCGACTGGAGGCCACCCAGGCGGGGTCCGAGTAGATGGGGTCGAAGGATCGCGCCGCATCGCCGGTGCATCGCCGATGTATCCGGCGATGCATCGGGGACGTCGGCGATGCGTTGGCAACGTCGGCGTGGCGAACCACATCGAGCCGCCTTGTCGATGCATCGGCGATGCGGCGCGATCCACCGACCCCATCTACTCGGACCCCATCTAGGAGGCCTACAGTGACATAACCATTCACTTTCGGAGTTCCGGCCATCTCGGATCGGCGCTGGGGCCCCCTTGGCGGCGCCTCGGGCGCCGCCACTGGCGCGCTCCGAGCGCCAGGAAAGGGGGGCCCAGCGCCGATCCATGAAGTCCGCGCGGAACCTCGACAAATTACAGTCGGGGCGTTGACCTAAGGAACCCTAAAGAAGGAACGAGGCCCCTTTTTTCCATAAGTTAACCTTCGATTCCCTGTCGAACACATAAGGAAAGCCTGAAGCCAGCTGTGAAACACTTAAGGAACGCGGAGCCCCTCCCCAACGAAAAGGGTTCCTTCTTCAGGGCCCCGACTGTATGTTCGCATCAGTGTCTGCTCCCCGAAGGCTAGACCCTCATATCCGGGCGTCGCAGCTTCACATCGGGCGTGCTCGCCCGGCTTCTCGGGCCCCGGGGCCATCACACACCGATCCAGCCCGAAGAAGGGCGCAGACAGGATGGGGTCTGTGGCTGTGGCCGTCACTTTTCGTGATGTTGCACATTTGTTCTCTGCAACGTCAGGTCCTAAGAGTTTGGGGGGCGGCATGCGGGAGGGGAGCTCGAGGCGTCCCAAATCGGATCCGCGTGGATGGGGCCGGACGAGCGCGCTGCATCGCCAAAGCATCGGCGGCGTCAGCGTGGAGAAAACTGGGTTTGTTCGATGCTGCGCCGTGGGCAATTTGGCCCGAAGAACCCCTAGAGGGCGAAACCCGCAGCCTGCTTCTCTTCCCGCTGAGAGCCTTATCCAGAACAAGAATCGCCGATGCATCGCCAAAACGACGCGATCCTCCGACCCCAACCTGGTCGGATCCCATCTGGGAGGCCGACAAGGGCAGCGAGTGTGGAATGGATAAACGAACGTGACAACCTTTCTGCATATGCCCAACCCCTGGGGGACAGAGCCCGCACTTGAAATCGAGACGCCCCCCAGAGACGCGTGCGCCTTGAGGGCGCACAGTGTAGTCAGAGAGAAAGAGAGAGGGGGGGAGATCCACAACTGCACGAGCTCCCCCCCGCAGGCTCTGCTACATTGGCTCGCGAGCTCGGGCTCACAGCGTGGAGGCCGGAGCCTCTGGCGCCCGGGCTGGAGATGCGGGCCCCAAGAATGTACACCGCCTCCCCCTCCATTCCTCCTCCCTCCTCTACCCTCCCCTTCCTCTCCTGTCTCCTGGGGGAGTGAGGGGGCGAGGGAAGTGGTGGTGGTGTATATTTTTGGGCCCCGTAGGAGACCAGGCGCCTCCCCGCCGGAGGCCCAACGCTACCTGATGTGCCCGAGGGTCTTTTGGTTTCGGCACCGGGCGTGCTCGCCCAGCTCGGGGTGTGCCGGGACCCTCGCGGATCGGCCTGGCTCGAGGAAGGCCGCAGAGATAGGGCGACGAGATGTATACATCGGGGGCGGCCAAGAGGGAGGCGTCCAAGAGGGGGGGGCGCAAATCATGGCTGGCGGCACGTGCGCGGCCCAAAGGGGGGGGGGGTCGAGGACGCATTGAAATAAGAAGAGACGCCATGAGATCTGGGGAGATGTCATGCCCCTGCCATGATATCCATACACCCCTGGTCATCACCCCCCTCTTTGCCGCCCCCGATCCCTGGCAGGGCCCATCCTGGGTCCAGGGGCTGGGTATGCGTTCTCCTGGCCAAGCCAGGGGCCAGGGGGGCGTGGCGCACCCACCGCTGCTGGGTTCAGGATGGACCTGGCCAGGAAGCAGTGGACATGTACAGTTGTCGTCGCCCGAAGGCTCCGTCATGATTTCTCGGCGGTGGACAAACCTCCCTTTAGTAACCCTCCCCTCAGTGAAAACGGCCTGGGACCGAAACGGACGGACCTGGACCCGCAAAAATGACGGCCGCGACGCCCTCTCGCGAACCGAAAACGGCCAATTCACTAATCGACGTGTCAGGGTAGGAGGTCTATCCACCTCCGAATGTCTCGCTCTGCTGCAGCCTCTTTGTAACGTCGGACGCCTCAGGGCTGGCCGGGGCCTCCGCCAGACCTCTGCGGAGGCCCCGCGGAGGCCGGCGGGGGGCCTCCACAGGCCTCCAGAGACATCTGTAGTGAACTGCGGGACGGGAAAATGACCACAGCCACTGCTTCTTGATTACAGCCGGCCGAAAAAGAAGCAGTGGTTGTGGTCATTTCCCCGGTGCCAGGCTTCACGAAAACGACCACAACCACTGTTTCGTTTCTGCTGGCTGGAAGGCGTCAACAAAAGAAAAGCAGTGGCTGTGGTCGTTTTTGCGTCCCGTATATACACTGAGCACTACACGTCGGTCGGAAGAAGTGGGTCGAAACATGAAGTAGGAGGGCGGATATAGTGGATTGGGTCCAGGTCCTCCTAGAAACTCACAAGACACAGCAAAAGCATGCCGATTCTTGAAGTAGGAGGGCGCGTGAAGCAGATTGGGATCTGGGAATCCAGAAATACCTACCTTCAACGACAGCATGCAGCCTTGCAGCTGCTCCGACTCCCGACAGTCAGTCGAACAACAATTCGAAGCAGAGCTGTGCTTCAAAAGCATTGCTTGCTTCGACTACAGCGCGACTCATGGACTGACCTCGTGGGGCTGCCTCGTGAGCCCCTCAAAGGCCTCCGGAGACCTCTGGTCACACAGCCAGCGCCTGCTACGAGAAGTTGCGCCGCGATTGAGTCGGTGCCTCCCCCCTGGCCTGTTGCCCCCCCGTCCTGCCACGATGCATCTCGGGGAATCTATCCACGGCTGGATCATGACCCGACGGGCCGTTCAAGCTTCGACGATCGCGACTTTCCGACCACGCAAATCGTTCAACACTGGCGGAGACCAGGTCATGAACGGCGTTCAACCTTGAATGCCCACGCTTGGTCGCCGCCACGTCAACACGCCAAGAACATTCCGCAGATGTCCCGCAAAGCCCACTACATTCGCCCGGAACCCGAAAAAGAGCTCCAGAGGCCAGAATCTATGAGAAAGGCCAGGATTGAAATAATCGTATCGTCGGGCATCGGGGTACGCTTATTAATCAGAGTGGGGGGTCCGAACGGTCATTCACTGTCCCTGGGTGCGTGGCTGAAGCGGGCTTCCGCGGAACGGACTGTTGTGGAATACTCCTTTCTAGAGAACCATTATTGCTGGTCTCCGTAAACGGTTCCGCGCGCTCTCGCCGCGACACCGACTGCACTTCCTCTGGAAACGACACTTCCGCTAGAGCGCGGGCTGGGTTAAAAAGTATGTCCTTGGAGGCCCGGCCACAGCGACAACGGGCCCCGCTCGATACGTCCTCACATTTCACCCAGAGACATCCTGGCCAGTGAGGCCCCCGAACTCAGGAACGGCGTTCCGTCTAGAGACTTCCTTTGAACTCAGTCAAGTTAATGGAGACCCAGCCACGACGACAAGGGCTTCTGCTGGACACCGACTCACGCTTCACTCGGAGAGGCTCTAGCCATGAAGGCCCTCGAATTCAGGAACGGCGCTCTCGCTCGGAACACTCTCTCGTGATTCAGTCACGCTGGTGGAGGCCCACCTGCGGCGACAAGGGCTCTCGCTCGATACTTCCTCAAGATGTACTCCCAGAGGCCCTGGCCAGAGACGCCCTCGAACTCAAGAGCGGCGCCGGAGGCTCTCGTAACTCAGGCAGGTTGTTGGAGGCCTGGGACCAAACCACGGCGCCAAGGGCTCCCGTCCGGTACTTCTCAACTTGCACTTCTCAACGTGCACTCAAAAAGGCCCCCGAACTCAGCAACGGCGCTCTCGCTCGAGATGTCCTCGCACTTCCGTCAGGTGGCCGACAAGCAAGCAGCCCTCAGAAGGAGGCGCGATCGAAGACGAAGTGGGCGCGTATCGAGGAGTGCGGCGTACAAGGTGAAACACACGCGAGCAAGTAAAAGCGAGCAGTCTTAAACTGCTTGTTGTTGTTGCTGCTGCTGTTGTTGCTGTTGTTGCTGCTGCTGTTGAATGTGAATTACGAAACAATTATTATTGTTGGACCCCCAGGCGCTTTGGCGCTTTCGCCTCGGCGCCGGCTACATTTTCATTGAAAAAGAGACTCACGCTAGAGCGGTTCGGGGGGGGGGCCAGAACGAACCCCCAAACAACAACAACAACAACAACAACAACAACAACAACAACAACAACAACAACCACAACAACAACAACAACAACAACAACAACAATTACTAGCACGTGGGGACACTCCGTTCTCACCAGTGCCAGGGTTTTCATAGGAGGCGGGCAATACCCCCACTTTGTGGGGGGGCCGGTTCAAGCTCTACCAAATTTCCAAACGACTCTTCGCCACCACCCACACCCAGCTTCCCGCCCTATGACGTTCGGACACTTCACTTCGTGGCATGCGGACGACCGTGGCTACTATTCAGGGCCCCGCGGCCGACGACGACGGCGTGCGCGCGCGAAGAAAAAACGAATGTGTCCCGCATGGTATTATTTGACAGGGATGATGGCCCTGGCAGGTGCGCAACCGTTGTCGCAGAAGTTCGAAAAAGTTGCTCGCAAAAGCCCGTTTGACAGAAATGTTTAAAAAGTGTTGGGTTTCCTACGAATCCGCAAGAGCGCGCGGGATGAGATTTTGACATTTTTTTGTTGAAAAACCATTGTTTTTTGATGTTTTTATGTTAAAATCGCTCCGAACACTAAGGTTTTGGAAGGATTTCGTCTTGCGCGCGCGAATGTCCACTTTA